TTTAGTCTGAAGGAGCTTCCTTGTTGTGTTCTTCATCTAAGGCTAACGGAGCTTTAGTCGAATAGTGCAAGTTCCGAAGATACTCAAATTCCATCGTGGAACCGTTGCCCGTTTAAATGGCGACTGAGACCCGCCGAGTAAATCCGGTGTCAGGAATTGAAATATTATGGTTAGCGGTGGAACTGGATAATGGATAGACTCTTGTGATAAATACCCATAAACTTCACGTTGTACTTGTGTTATCCAAATTTTGTGGTCCAGATTAACTAAACAAGTTTATCAATGTTGAAGAGTGTTTCATAGGTAGGAAGCCTAATTTGAAAGACTAGAAAACATTCGTACAAAGACGGTACGCCTTTCACTGCCGTATATAAACTGTTATGTGCTGTGCCGTAACGAAACTCGTCATATATCAATTATTGGCGTCCTTTGTTGTCTATTCGTATATCTAAGAAAAAATGGAACCGAATTTGCACTTTTACATTATGTCAATTTATTAAAACCTTGGCACTGAAATTTACATTGTTCATGTGTATTTATTTTTAGGACATCTCAGACAAAGTGATGGAGGTCAGACAAAATGCCGATATGAAAAGCCCACTTTACGATGATCTCGTCAGCATGCGGGTATTCCAAAACGCCGTTAAGCCGTACTGTGCGAATGAAAAAGTCTTCGATATGGTCGTTCAGAACCTGATATACAGAAAACAGCTGACAATCGGAGTTTCTGGGCAAGGCGAAAAAGTAAATGAATGGAAAACAGCGATTTTGTTCGTATCTCTTATTTTCCTGTTCGATATTTGGGGGTATCGTGTACATATTTTCTACCAGTACTTTGTTTTGAGCAGTACACTGATGAGGCAAATATTCGTAGTGGTCGTAAATGCAGTGAAACAGTATAAGTGCTGTTCTATTTTAGATAGTGAAATTCAAGGCTAGAAACGAGAACGGACCCGTGAAAATCACCGATCTCGATCGAACGGTTCACAGGTACGCGATAAAAGTTGTTTTTTATTCTTTTTAAGTTTAAAGAAAAAAGTTTGATTTTCATTCATTTGTAGTTTTGAAAATGATTTAATTTGACAGAAAGTGTTACACGCTACCATTATCCTTTCGCTCTTCCCATGTTACGAGTTAATTATTTAGTTCACTGTTTGGTAATTGTTGGTATAACCTCTGAAAAGTAGGCAATGTCTTAAGGTAATGGATTAATAACGGGATGGTGGATTACTAGCGTTTGAAAAGACTTAAGCTTAGAGTACTTCCAAGCCTGTTATTATAGTGTGCATGGATTTTTACTTTCAGTGGTTGCAACGAATCAGCGTTATGCATTCTGTGTTGCGAGGCTGAAGCTTATGATATCCTGATGAGAACCTGAACAACAAAAAGACTTGCATGGTTTACTGGGTATTCGATGTCGCGTAGAGTCTGCTTGAAGAATGTCTGGTGTCCATCACAGTTCGATGTGACTTGGAGATAGATGGATTACGCCGATGGTCTTCTAAAAGAATCCATTGAAAATAGTATTACATTTTTGCTTATAATGTTGTGAGATCGTGGAAGTAATCGCTTCTGTAGTTAGGCAAGACCGGAGTTGCTCACTCGGTAGAGCATCGGACTCATAACAGGCAGGTTCTGGGTTCGAGCGCAAGTCAGGTTACACCATATTCCCTTACAAGATAGAGATAAATGAGTACTACTTTGTGGGAAGAAAACAGTAAACTATGCACTACACTTGCTATGTAACTGTAGATTCCACCTTTGAAAAAGGCACTCCTGACTGAGGACAGAGAAGGGGTGATCAGTCTGCACCGTAAGCCTTATGAAATGAAGGCTGCCAGTAAATGTTTTCCTAGATATCTTTACTGGTTCCAGACTGAACCTTAGATTGAACTTAATTTTTATCTTCTTTATAAAACAAATTTTTCTCTTCATATAGCATGAAAGGGGTCGTCGAGAAGTTGGAACAAGAGATGCTGATCCTTGAAGAGCAGGCCAACAGGTAAGTACTTTAAAGACGGTAAACTTTTCCATGTTGACTTAGTCTAATATTGTGTTTTAATAGTATATCTTGAAGGTGAGAGACCGTCCATCAAAATTTTATTTCCGTACCTGTTCTGTTTCTAGCCGTACCTAATTCAAGGACATTCATGCCGAGTGTGGCGTTAAACACGGCCAGATTCCATCTGGTACCATTTTGTGAGAGGAGAGTGTTTGAGAATCCAAATCAGCCAGACAGTGGAAGCAGGGAGTGATTTCATTAACCTTGAGACAGTCAACGTTCGTTTAAGCGGTGCGTCGCGTAAATGCTTCATACTGTTGGTTGACAGCCACGGTTATTAAATCGTTGTAATGCGTATGGCGATAATCACAACTTTATGGAACTTGAAACCTGTAGAAAAGGAAGATCAGATGGCTGCACACGTTCCATGTGTAATGTTGTCAGCAACAATGTTGCATCAAGTGATCAGATTTCATCAAATTTGGCGAAGTGAGTTGCCAGAATAGTTTATCTCACGTGAATGATGTTATCGAAGGAGCAGAGTTTGTGCCCGAAGAAACGGGTTTCTTACAGGGTGCTAAAACTGGTGACAGAACAGAGTTCGAATTCACTCTGTCGCTCATATGGAAATACCCATCTGACTGCCTCGGCTATTTAATTGCTGGCGTCCATCTAACTACACTGGTTACTTGTTGCTAGTTTTAGTTTAGTCATCTGAACCATGGACCCTGTTGTAAAAAGAGAAAGCAGAGGCTGAGACTGTTCTTCATAAAACGCCTTGCGCAGTCCTTCATTATCGATCAGTCGAATTTCACACTAGTGTAAAGTATGCCGCTACAATAGCTGACCTCATGTAGAAACTTGCATTGCCACAAGAGCTACCGTTTCAAAACGGGAGAGGACGCCTAATGGAAGAAACATGTTTTAGGCAAAAATAGCATTGATACCGTGCAGAACAAAGGGTAAACATGCTTTGTTACGTCACACATACTGCGGGAAAACGTGGTAACCGCAAATATCAGTCCAGCCATTCTTGAAAACAGCTTAACACACGGTTAATT